TTTTGAAGTTAAAACTTAGAGAACAGGAATTACATTTCTGATCAATATCAAAAAATATGGAATAGTAAAAAAATATACATGGCATTGTTATAAAAATAGAAATGCATATTATATTTGGACAAAGAATAAAGATAATAATAAGAAAAATTTACAACTTCATCGATTGATTCATCCTGAATGAAAGATAATTGATCATATCAATTATGATGGTTGTAACAATCATAAATGCAACTTGTAAAAAACTACTACAAAAGAAAATATGCTTAATTGTAATTTAAAAAAAAATAATTCAAGTGGTTATAATGAAATTAATTTTATTAAACCTAAAAACTGTTAGAGATTTGAATAGCTTGAGAATAAAAAACATAAAATAAAATCTTTTTATATTACAAAGAACTGAACTTCAGAGCAGGCAAAACAATTAGCAATTCAATTCAAACAAGAACATGACAAGAAAACTGAAAACAAAAACTGTTATCTTGTAACTTTTAATTAAATATTTTATATAATATCAACTTTATAATATAGATTTTATTATTTTTTTTATTATATAAAAAATATATAAATAAAAAGAGGATAGTAAAAAAAAAACAGAAAAAAAAGCAAACATGACTATGCAAAACATGAATAAAATTCTTTTGCATTTTATTAAACAAAGTAAAATTAAAATTGAAAATGGTTTTCTGGTTGAACCAGAAATGAAAAAAGCATCTGAAAAACTTGGTTTACATATTGAATTTATTTCTAAAATAAATAAATATAAAGTTTTAACATCAAAAAAAATGATTAAAGAAATATTAAAACACTTTAAGTAATATACTTAAATGTATTTTCATAAATAGTATAATTTTCATCCTTCTTATTTCTAACAAAACAAACTTTTTTAATATTGTTATAAAAAATACTAAATAATGTATTTTTCTCTTCAATCTTAAAATAAGCAACCTTATTCTTAAAATAAGCAACCTTATTCTTATAATAAACAAATTTTTCATACATTTTATTATTAGCTTAATATTTTAGTTTTGAATCAATATCTATATATTTATTATTTTTTAAAAAATAAACTGCATAAAAAATTTTATTTTCTTCTTTAATTTTATCAATTCTAACTCTGATTTTTACATTATTTATATCTAAAAAATAGATATCATTTCTGATAGTATTAAAAGAAAATGTTTCTTGAAATGTCACTATTAATAAAATTATAAATATTTTTTTTTAAAAAAAACAAAAAAACAAAAAAATAAATATTATTACTTATTAAAATTGTTTAAAAATGTTAAAAAAGTCTGAACATTTTTGTTTTTTTTTATTTGCTATTTATAATACAATAGTGTAGTATATACAAAATAATTGCTTAATTAGGTTAACAAACTTAATATTTTATTTAATAATATTAAAATTATATAAATGATTTATTAAATAGATAAAATAAACAAATTGTTCTACTTTATTTAAATTTAATATGCAAACAAAATATTAAACTTAAATGAAGAAAAACAATGCTAAGACATAATTTCAGCAATAGTGATTATAATAATTAAAAATAAATACTTAATTACATTCTATGAGAATTTAAAAAATTAATAATTCTATCAAGATTTTCATTAAATAAAATCTTCTTCATTTTGACACCTACTTGTTCTTTAATCAGTTTAAGGTTCATGTTATGAACCTTGTAAACATAAACTCAAGAAACAAAAATAAAAAATAAAAAAACAAAAAGTAAAATTTAATATATTAAAAGATATTTTTGTAACATCTTTATTGAGTTTCAAGAGAACAAATTTTGTTCTCATATTGAGAAAATTCATTTGTCAATTTTTTAAACAAATAAGCTGTATCTAAATAAAACAGTATTAATAATAAATTAAATTTTTTAAATAAATAATTTATAAATATACCTTTTGAAGAAGCAACAACTTCTTTAGTTATTGTTTCAACTTGTTTGATGACTGGTTGAAAAGACATTTTTGTTAAGATTATTGTTAAAATAATTTATCATTATTGATAAAGAAATTGTAAAAATTTGTTTAGTATAAAATTTTTGCAATGATCTTGTAAAGAAAGTTGATGTTTAAATACTAGAAGCTTAAGACTGTTCATAAGAAGAAGGTAAATCATCATAAATCTCCTGTTGGTTGTTAGGAATTCTACCAGATGGAGTTTGAAATAAAGATATATTTGTAACAGAAAATAATTTGAATAGGTGTTAATTTGTAAGTGAAGTATAAACAATTGAAAAGAAATTTAGATTAAAGTTTAAAGATAACAGAAAGAAGAATAAAAACAGATTTGGAAATATTAAATTAGCATTCATCGATTCCAAATAAGGATAATCATAAAGGCTGAAAAAATTCTTATAAAAAAATCAAATTTGAGAATTATTTTTAAAGATAGGTTTATTGAATAAGGGTTTATTTGAATTAGTTTATAAGAAAAAATATTTAAATGATGCAAATTTTCTTTTTATCATCAATATAAGTAAAAAATAAAAGAAATAAAATGCTATGTTACATTTGCATGCAAATTTTGCCAAGAAAAAAAACTTAAATGCATTAATAAAAGACCTTGTGCTCAATGCATCAAATGAAACATTCCTTGTATACTATCAGATAAAAAAAGAAAAGAGGTCCAATGCCAAAATCCAAAGTAGAATACTTGAAAATCTGTAAAATTTTAAATGAATAAGGACTATTTTAACAATTTATACTTATAAATATTTATAATTTTATTTATTGTTTATTATTTAATATGTATATATCTAAGTTTTAAATAAATTATTGGTTTTAATGTGCATGCATTCTTTGTTCAAAAGTTCTAAAATTCTTGTATAAAGTTAAAGATTTTCAATGTTTTAGTCTCATCAAAACAGTAAATTGGCATAAAAAATGCTTGCAATTAAAATTTCCATAAAAAAACCACAAAAAAAAATTATAAAAAATTAACCAAAAAACAGAAAAACAGAATGGTCAGCCAATTTGCCTTTTTAGAAAATCTTGGCTTTCACTATTTTCTCTTGTTTAAACAAAACATTAGGAAGATGTTGCTGAAGAGTTGAAAACAAATTCAACTGTTGATGAAGTGCTAAACTTAGTACTTTAAGAAAAAAGCTAGCTATTTGAGCATCAAGTACAACATATTCGAATAGATTTAGAAAATAAAGAAGGAACAATTAATATTAAATATCATCCTAATTGAGATAGTTGTTACTGTAATCACTTTTATACAATTGATTGAGGATGGTGGATAGTTAAAAGTTTGCTATATTATTTGTACAAAAATTTTGAAAATTATCGATTTATGTGATATAGCCTTTCTCAATTGACAAGCCATAGTTGTAAATAAAATAAATTTATGAAATTGTATAATAAACTTTTTTATAAATAAAATGTTATTTTATAAATAATGTAATTATATTCATATAAATAACAAAAAATAAAAATAAATTTTTTAGTTTTATCTTATTATATTTTTATAATAATAAGCCAGTAAATAATTTAAAAATATTTTTTTTTGTTTAATACTTATTAAATATTATTTGTTTATTAGTGAACAAGTTGATGAATATCTTAATGACTGATATGAAAGAAAAAAAAAAGAAGTTTGTTTACATTATGATTATAAAAAAAACTACTTAAGCTTAATAATTGTTATAATAAACAAGTTGAAGATATTACTTTTCATTTACTTAAAGATTAAAAAAAAGAAAGACAGAGAAAAAGAGAAACTTTAGAAAAAGAAAGACAAAAAAACAGAGAAAAGGAGAGAAAATATAAAAGAGAAGAAAGAAAAAAAGATAGAATTTTTATAATGAAACTTTTAACAAACATATTTTTATTTGTTATCTTGATGTTTTTTATTTTTAAAGAAAATTTATATGGTATTGCATTTTCTGTCATTTGTAATATTTTTAATTATTATAAGAATTAAGTTTTGAATTTTTTATTTTATTTTATTCAAATTTTTTTTTTTAAAAAAAAAAAATATATATTTTAATAAATATATATTAAAAAAATGTAAAAAAGCTTAGTAACAACCATGGGTTTATCTGTTGTGGTCTGGTTTTCTATAAATGCTACACTTAAGTTTGGTTATAGAGTTATGCTTACACTTGTGAGTATCAACATTAACATGAGTACATTTGTTATGTCCAAACATATAAATGTCTGCAGCACAACACATAGAGCATGATTTTTTTTAATGTATGAGTAGCTCAGCACATTCTAAATTTAAAAAAATATTAACAAAATTATGATAGTAATAATTTTCTTATTCATAATCTGTAAAAAAAATACAGTTATACCTCTTTATAATCAGACTTTTGGGCAAAACAAAAATTGTGATTAGATAGAGGTGTGATTATAAGTAAAAAATTTTTAATATTTATTTATTTAGTTAAAATAATTTGATTGGTCAATTTTAAACTATATAATCTCTTAATATATATTATATTGTCTATTAGAATATTTATGTATTTTTTATTTTTATCATCATTATTAATACTATAAGTTTTCTATATTATAGGTTTTTTGGTAAGGTATAGCATTATGGCATTACAGTTATAGTATTATATTGTGGTATTATAGTATTATAGCATATGATATTTACGGCAATTAGGTACTGTGATAAAATGCTACAATGCCATAATTCTACCACCAGCTATAATTGGAACCACAGGAGATATAGTATTTAACATTCTGCTATCAAGCTACTGGATAATGATAAAATGAGACTTACTCATTATCTAAATGCTTTATGACAAAATATTAAACACTTCCTGCAGTTCCAATTCAGGTATCTGTTTGCAGAACACTACTAACTACTTACTTACTCATTTTTAAATAATAAGCATATCCACTATCGAAATTATGAACACAAATTCTATTTTCACTTACAACACTGATATTTATTTATTTATTTATTTATAGTATAATAAAACTTAACTAGTTAAATACATAAAAAATAATATATATTTAAAATATATCATAAAAATATTAAATTTTTTGAAAATAATCAATAATAGAACTTTGTTTTTTCGAATCTGATAAAATTCTACTCATAATTTTACTATATTTGTTTAATATTTTTATATCTTTCATATCAAAGTCAGAAGATTCTTGTTGTTCAAAAAAAGATAACCAAGTTTTTAAGGCATTATATGCCACTTGTGTAGATATTTCAGATGGTTCTTTATCAGAGTCTTCTTGATCATCTTCAATAATGTTATCTTTATTTTGAACAAGGGTAATAATTTGCTGATCCATTAATACTTTCTCTGTTGCAATAGTTTGGTCAACATCATTAAAAAAATCAACTACTGCAGAAGTAAGAGCAGTAGAATAATCATCCTCTCTAGAAAACTCATCCAGAAGAGTATCAAGTTCATTATTTTCAAGTAAATTTGCTTCATCTTAAAATTCAGTAGCATTGATAATTTCTTCATCTTCAATGGCAGGAAGAATTCTTGTTTTTTTCTAACAATTGATAATTATATTATCATCAACTGCACTCCATGCATCCGAAACATAACCAATAGCCTGTTTAAGATTTAATTTATTTTTTTTAAAAAAAAAAATTAATACAGTTAAACTTTTCAACACTGGTCAAAATCGATAACCTGTCAAATTTGATAGAAAACTAATCAACCTCTCAATACTAATATAAAACCTATTTACCATGCATATCAGTTTTAGAGGGGTTTGACAGTAGTGCTCTGAATAGTTTTCAATTTAACTAAAATAGCAATCTAAAACCTATGAATACAAATGGTATTAACTTATTTAATATTTACAAAATGAATTAAAAGATTAGAAAAATTAATATCATTTTAAGATTTTCCACAAATTACTCAGTTTTATTTAGATAATAAATGCTAAGATTATATATTTTACTAGTAAGCAGATTTTTGGTAATATATAAATGCTTTATGTTCATCCTTTTTAAATTTTATTTAATTATAAACACCAAGACAACGCATTTTACTAGTAAGCAGATTTTTGATAATGCATGACTAGCTTATGTTTGTTCTTGTCAACTTCATTTTCATATTGATAACAAATACTAGGATTATATATTCTATTAACATAATCTTTCCTAGTAGATTTTTGATAATAAATAAAAGCTTTGTGCTTTTCTTCTTCAATATCAGTTCAACATTGATAACATCTATTACAAAAACATTATTGAAGATACATGTTTGTATAAAATTAGTATTTAGCGTATTCAAGCTATAATAAATTTA